AAGTCGAAGACGGAGAAGACGACGAAGACGACGACGAAGAAGAAGAACGAAGGGGAAGCGAACGCGAAGGACTTTCCCCCGATCGCCGTGTCAACCCCTTCGACGCGGACGACGACGACGACGACGAGGAAGAAGCGGAAGCGGAGGCTGAAGAAGAAGAAGAAGAAGAGGAGGAGGAGGAGGAGGAGGAAGACGAGCGGGGTTCCGCGCGCTCCCGCGCGCGCGAGCCGCCTTGACGGGGGTGGGAAAGATGCGGGAGGGAAACAAACCGCATCCGCACGCGTTGCCCCTGCTTTCGCACCAAATTACGCACGTCGAGGGTGTTTTTCCGCGGTGGGAAAGGAGGGTGAGGGGGGTTCCCCTCCGACGGCCGTCGGGGCGCGATGGAGTCGTCGGAAGCCGACCTCGACGGGCTCGACGACGAGGAAGACGACGAACTCCTGGAGGATCGTCCGCGGCGAGAACCCGTGGGTTTGGTCGGGATATTCGACAAAAATTGAATTTGAATTTGACTTCGAATGACGCCGAGAGAGAAGGAGGGCGGGGGGCGCGGACGATCCGACGAGCCCTCACGGCGCACGCGAGGGGGAGGAACCGCGCGTTGGATTTCCTCCCCCTCCGTGGCGTCGTGGTCGAGGCGATCCGGATGAGGTCGAATAGCGTTGGCGTCGAAAAGGGCGAGGTAATCGCGAGTGCGGCAGGCGCCGAGAACGGCCGGGGCGCCTTTCGCGCGAGGGTTTCCGATACCGCCCTCCTGTTCAACCCCCTCACGCATGCCCGATGTCTCCAGGACGGAAAACACCCCTAAAAGAGTCAGAAAAACTTAAAAAATGAAACGCACGGCCTGGTGGAGAGGAGGGATCGAGAGATGGAGTCGGATCTGGTCAACTCATACAGCGCCGCCTCGTCGACTTCAAGTAGAATGGGAATCAAAGACGCCAGAAAGAATAAAAACGGCAAGGCTGAAGACGCTTGATCAAGAGTATGCGCATTCTAGGGCTAAACAAAGAATCACAGAAGAAAGGAATAGAGGAGAAATGAGTAAAGAATAGAACCAAGTATTTGTAACACGCAAAAGATGGATAACTTTCCGTAAACGAAAGAAAAACCTTTGACAATTTTACCCAGGAAAAAAAAATATCAACAACATAAAATTAAATAAACATCAGAAAAGATTTCAACAAGAAATCTGACTGATGTTTGGAATGAAAAAGTATTCGATTTACCAATTTTTTAGATTAGGATCTTTTAAAAAATCATTAAGTTAGCCATGATCGAATATGCTTCGTCGTGGTCTTCCTTTATGCTTTAAGGATGTTTATTGCGTTATGAGACTCAAAAAAAGATTACACAATCTGAGAACTAAATGGAATAACAATTTTTTTCATCTTCGAAATTTAACATTAAATTTGCAGATATAAGAACATATATCACAGTATTATATTTGTTAGTTTTAATTTTGTGATTTTCTTGACGCTACTTGGAATCAAAATTTTAGAACTATACATTTTGCTAACAGATGATAAACTTTTTAGAGAATCTAGTTGAAAGGAATTTGTCCTCAAGTCATTCCTTGAAGCATATGAATTTAACATTGGATAAACTAATGGATAAGTCACAAAAAACTCTGAAAAAAAAAATAAAACAATGATCCTAGACGCTAAAGGCATAGAAGCTAGCTTATAGGAAACCTTCCACTCCACGATCACGAGAAAGGAAGTTCAGTAATAAGTCACTCAATCAAAACTAATTCACAAGGAAACAATGTATTTGAAGGTTAAACCAAATAAAAATAGTTACGAGATATACAATATTCAATAAAAAGTTGATTGTATAATAAAAATTGCATAGGTGCAATTCCGCGACTTTAATTTTTTATCTTCGATTGCATAGACATGCTGAACGAAATGCTAAAAAAATGTATAGATTTACTTCAATTACAAAAAACTAAAAACATCGAACTTTGAAGAAAAGGAACAATAATAACAACAGTCGTAGCAACCAGTTTTTCGTGATAAAAATACACTTGCTAGTCGATTCTTTGCTGAAATAAACCAAAAAAAATTCATGTTCCATTCATACAAAGATACATAAATTACTTGTATTGTAAACATATTTTACTGAAGAACATTTATCTGTCAGCAAGAAAAATTAAAAGACAAATTTAAAACTCAAAATAATGGGTTTGAGTTTTTGCGCTCCTATTCTTTCCATATCAATTTATAAATAGACTTTATTATTGTTGTTTTGATAAATAAATGGAACTCCCCCTCGTACATATCTTTGAAATGTGTTACTTTCTTAGTCGCCCATTGTATCGGTGTGCAACCACCGTCTCTTTGCATTCTAAATTTAAAATTTAATCATCATGTTAAGAATAAACCTGTCAAACAGTATAGAATCTCACGTAGTAATAGCTCGATTCTGTCTGATCACAGGTTGGAATAGATGACAGCAAAATTGTGGAGAAAAAAGTTTTGAAAATACACTGCAGTTGGTGAGTTTGGACTTGAATCGACTAGATCGGGAAACAATCAAGTAGCAAAGGCCCATGGTTGAAGTTTCCGACCTATTGCAGTCGAATTAAGCAATTTAAGGTCCTTGGTACCCCTGAGATGCCAGTCCTCATCTTGTTTTGGCACACAAAATGCTGGATGTCAACACTATCTAATCATCTAGGGGAAAAACAAAATCATTGCAGCCGTTGGGCCATTTTTAGTCCGCAACGAGAGACCAACTCTACTTAAAGGTGACTTCAAAGAATATATAAATATATTGGTGTAATGTGATTTTGTATTCAACATGTGGTGAACAGCCTGTTATCAAGCCATCGATCTATCATCAACAAGTGTTTCTAATCACTGAACTTTCCTCCGTGGGTTCTTTGTCTGTCTTGTCATAGGAGTCGTCCAGGTAGGAAGGGCAGTCGCGTTCTCCAAAGAAATTAGTAGAAGTGGCACTCTCCCAAGACCATGGCGTGAGGCCGAAAAAATGATTCTCCTCGTCTTGAGGGAAAAAACACGACGCGAAGACCGGGGCCTCCGTCCAGATTTCTGCCATTTCAGACGTCGTTTCCGACTCCTCCCTGTGGATAAGGTCCCAGAAGCCGTTTGGATTGGAATCCTTGAGGGATCTAGAATTTGGTAACAACCGATCTACCGTTGCTTCCTCCTTCATAGAGTCAGTAACTCCATTATATTGGATAGGAGAGAGCGACGAGGATTTCTTAGACGATCTCGAAGAGTCCGACGAGTAGGCAGGGGAAGAAATGGGTGTACAGTTCATCGAGCAAGGCAGTGAAGACGGCTGCTCAAAGGTTGCCTCCGACAGCGAGCTCAAACAGCCGAGATCACATTCCGAACCGAGAACCCCATCCCCCTTCTCTGTGTCTCCACGGTAATGCCAATAGTTTTGAAGAACAGAAAAAAACCCAACCGCAGTGCTGCATTCCGGGGGAACATACGGATGTTGATCAATGGAGTCCAACCAATTCCAAATTTTGCATTCATTCCCGAGAGCAGTAATGTGTTGGGGGTGCTCAGGAGGCGTAGAGGAAGTCTTCGGCATCGGGCAAACCTCGTTTTGCGAGTAAAACAAATTTAAATTGGTAAGACTAGACGGGATATGGGAGGCTTTATCGCACATGGAAGGTATTAAGATCGGCTTGGCGTTGAAATTCCGATGAGGGGAATAATTAAAACGAATAGCCACGTTCGTCATCGGTAAATTATCATCATAGATGTCACTGATATGAGGTTTGCTCGACATAGAGTTCTGCAAACCGAAGTTACGGTCTTTCTGTGAAGCAATAAAAGTTATAGGTCCCACCATGGTAAAAACTACGCAGAAGAGGAAGCCAAAAGAAGTATATAGAATCAATACAATGTGTTTCAAAAGATGATGGTTTCCTTATTACCGTGTGTAAACACTTTCTCGAAGATTGATCAAGATTGCCCAACGAAAGGACACCTAGGGATAGGTAAGAAAACAAATAACGTGATTGGAACTTTTGAATCGCCTCACACGTATTGTTAATGAAAATTTGGCTCACTTAAATAAATAAATACTTAAAAAATGTCACCTACAAGAAGGACAGGCAAGCAATTGAATATTTTTTAATCTTTAAATCCAAGTTGACTATACAAAGTATTTTGTTGTCGCGTGAACTGGACCTAAATAAGACTATATTTATAGCTGCTACAACGAAATCAGGAAAAAAATCCTATTTATAGAAAAATGGATAGATATGTTTGTCTTCTTTGGACTCTAAACACGTGCGTGTACCTTGTCTGCACTTGATCTAATCAAATGTTTTCTTATCGTAATGAAAAATAATAATAACGATGAAAAAAACTACACAAAACACTCTTTCCTCCGTGCAGAACCTCTGTAGACTTAGGAAAAAGCGTCAACTTGTTGAAAGAAAGGATTTGTCACTTAATTTTTGAAAAGAATTAATTTACCTTTACTTAGCTTTACTGTTAAGCGTTGTTATGCTACACTTATAGTTACGAATGCAAAAATACTTTTTTTCGTCACGTTTCTAAAGGTTAGCACGAAGAAAAGAGGTGTAGACAGATAATGTAAAAGTAGGAAAGTGATATAACCAAACAAAGATATGAAAGAGAAAAGATGGTAATCAAATATTTATATTAAGCACGGCTATTGATTATTTTGATATTTTCTATAAGGAAGCGCTACTGTAATGAATATCAAGCTATAGATGTTTTTTTTGTCTTCTTCTTCTTGGTTTATGATTGTTCTCAAATCTCCTTGATATGGATACAAAAAACAAAAATTAAACGATGAAGTTCGGAAAAAAACGAATAGGAACCGCACAGCAGAATAAACTCGTAAAATATATTGACTCTGAATAGATTAGTAGAGTTTCAAAAGTCTCAGGAACCTTTGTACAATGTATTAAAATGCCTTTTTCGTGCGCAACTCGGAAAAATCAAGGAAAAAATGCGTATTTGTGAAACCAATGAAGTAATTAGAAGAAAAAGGACACTTTAATTACCATGAACGTTGATTTAGAATTTTTCTAAAATGGAAATCAAACGAGAATCAAATATAGACGGTGAGAATGTATATAAATATATATATATATATATATATAAAGATATAGAGAGAATAAGGGAAAAAATACTACTAAGTCCCTTTATGAATCCTCCTTTATAAGCCTTTACTTAACAACAAAGATTGAAAAAAGTGAATAATACACTATTCGCGTTGATGTATATACTTATATATATATATATATATATATATATATATGAATATGTGTGTGTATGTATGTATGTGGGTAGTTATGTAAGTTTATAAAACGATATATATTTATAACAATAAGCTAGATTTTAACTCAGACAGCTTACCGTGAGCTAAATTGCTAGCACGGGGTCTTTACAGAAAGATACGATGACAACAAAGAAAATATTTAGATGAGGCACCACCAATAACCTATAGTCGCCCTCTAAATGAAAACTTTTAAAAAATATATAAGATGAATAAATTACCAAAATATTAATTTTTGAATGCTATATATATGAATGTATAGATAGAGAAAGAGAGAGATGTTGATGTAAAGAATATGAAGTATAAAGGAATAGAAGCCAAGTGGGCTACCAGCATTAAGGGGTACGCAATACAAGAATGTTAACGATGCATCCTTTGAACATTTCTTTCAATAATATCCTTTTTGGTCTGCTACTTCAGCTAGTTTGGTCACTAGTCAATATTTGATGAAATTAGATTGTGAGAGACAATCTCATAAAAGCAGCATTAAGGAAAATTAGGCTTATATAGCACGATAAAAACAAACAAATGTGTAGCTCATGGATAATAATGATAATAGGCATTTGCTCTCTTCAAAAGCGGCAACAAAGCTTCTCCACGAAAACGCCCAAGGCCGCCCTTTTCAGAAACTAAGTTCTCGCTGTAGTACTGGACACCATCTTGGAAGGCAAACCACTCGCCGTTTCGACCTTTCCCATCCTCCTCCCCATGCAAACCGTTAGGGCAATGTCCATGATGCACGAGGAGGGGTTTGGTCGCGACGGATACGGGAACCGGCTCGCAGCAGTGATCGCCCAACTCTACAGGCGTCGAATGATCCGCCACGACAGCCATCGTCGCGCCCGCGGGCAGAGCATCCCACAACTCCTGCATCACGACGCCACAGCGTCGCAGCAGCTCCAGCTTGGTCGCGATGTCGCGGTCGTGCCCGGCGTCGTCGACCCCCTTGACG